ACCTTCATCCCTACATAGAAACACATAAATCCGTGAATTATCATAAAATAATTTGAACATATGGAACCTTTACGAGAGTTTAGTGAATGTGACTTTGAATGTGATGGTATTGACATTACCATCTATTCATTTGTGTTAGTCAAAAGTGTGCGATTTCCCTGCAACATGCAGCAACATATACAGGATAGTATTCCACACATCGTCTTATCCCTCTGTAATTATAAGATGATCCCATGCCGCTGTCAGTGTGAGCTCTTTTTCCACCGGTCAACATGTAACTGCTATCATCCAGACAACCCAGACTAGCAGACAGGAAGAAGAAGCCCTGCAGCCGCTAGCTATTGATTTTCACATGATAGCACATCACATGCTTTTATTGTTTGGGGAGCTCAACAGTGATGACCATGATTTCTTTATTTTAGTCGATATCTTCCCATAGAGATCCTGTAGCCCCCATCCTCCTTTCACACCCCTCATTGACCAGTGTGCTTTAAATTGGGCAATAGGGGAATAGTATTGTTAACACCAGCAGGGGAGGGCAGAGGAAGCGGTACTAGAGGAACATGGAGGGAGAAGAAGGAGAAGAAACACAGGCTGGAATCCCAACCCTTGCAATCATTAAGTTCCAACTTGCTCACTAAGGATTGAGTTGTAAAGGGTTTTTTTCAATTTATTTTGTTGTTTGCTGTGCTTATATATGCCCCAAGACCGTCAGTCCACAATCAGTGGTTGCTGATTTATTTATGCGTGTGTGCTGCATGAGCGCCCCCACCCCCCATCAACGCCAACGTGTTTGCTACATGCGAGAAGTTCTAATAGCTTGAATAAATAAAACAACTCATCAAATGTCAAGAAAGGAAAAAAAAACATGTATTTTCCTAATTAAAAAGAAAACTGCACACCTTCTAAATTCAAGTTTCTCTCAATAAACAATTAACAACAATAAATAAAAAAATCATACGTGTATAATGGTGTGTATGAGGTGGTGCATAATGTCAGCACATGGTAGCCTACAAATTACTGTCTCACCAGGAAACTGGCAAG